GACAGGGATTTTCAGGAAGTTACCTGATTGGGTGGGGTTATGATAGGGTGCCTGTGCAGGTTACTTTCAAGGTGGATTGGGCAGCAAAGGCTTTTGGGAGGAGTTGACCAGACTTATTCTGGGATGTTGCTTATGTGTTGTTCCTCTGGGCTCCGTTTTGAGTTGCCCCACCTCTAGGGGCTGGGTTTTTTCCCAGTGTTGTTGTTGTTAGGTGCCATCAAGTCAGTATTGACTCACAGCAACCCAATTCACAACAGAATGCAACACTGTCCAGTCCTGGGCCAACCTCACAATCTTTATTATGCCTGAACCCATTGCTGCTGCCACTGTGCCAATCCATCTCATTGGGGGTCTTCCTCTTCTTTTCCGACTCTCCACTTTACCAAACAAGATATCCTTCTCCAGGGACTGGTCCCTCCTGACAATATGTCCAAAGTATGAGAGACGAAGTCTGGCCATCCTGACCTTCAAGGAGCACTCTGGCTGCACTTCTTCCAACACAGATCTGTTGGTTCTTTTGGCAACCCATGGTACTTTCAATATTGTCCTGCAATGCCAAAATTCAAATGCATCAATTCTACAATCTTCCTTATTCACTGTCCAACTTTTTCATGAATATTAGGTTATTGAAAATAGCATGACTTGGATCAGATGCACTTTAGTTCTCAAACTGACATCTTTGCCCTTCAACACTTAAGAAGTCTTGTGCAGCGGATTTGCCCAATGAAATTTGTCATTTCTTAACTGCTGCTTCTATGAGTGTTGATGGTTGATACAAGCAAAAATCTTTCTCACAGAGGCAAGAAGTGACTGACTTACAAGCTTTCAAGAGGGAACTTAGATTCAGATGGTGTGGAGCAAGACGGAATCTCCATGGAGTAGTATCCATTCTGCATAGTCAGAGATGATAAAAAGAGATGCAGATAGGTCCCTTGCGATACAATAGCAAATAATTGTTATCAGGACTGATTGTAAGAGTGGGAAATGTAAAGGTGGACATTTTGGGGCAAAGGGAGGGGAGGGACTAACCTTACAGTTTAGGAACAGAGGTCCCTGGGACCATCGAAGGAGAAGAGCAGAGAACAGAACCCTACTCAGAAAAGCAGTGATACTAGGGATGGAGGCAGAGACGATGACATGGGGACATGGAATGGCTGGAGACTTTGGACCTAGAGAAGGAGAGGGGCAGTATGCGGACGACAGGGGGGAGGGCTTGTGGGGTGTACCCTTTGGTTGGTTGATGATGCATGGAGGGGATTGTTATCATGGCAAGGAAATGATGTGCAATGGGATGCATGTGAAGCTGATGTCCTCCCATGTGAACTATCACATAATTCACAATAGCATTTAAAAAAAAAAAATCCTTTCTCCATTTATATGAATGTTGTTTATTGGTTCATCAGTGAGGATTTTGTTTTCTTTACATTGAGATACAACTCATACTAAAGGCTGTGGTCTTTGATCTTCATCAGCAAGTATTTTAAGTACTCTTTGCTTGCAACAAGCAAGGTTGTATCATCTGCATATCACAGGTATTAATGAGTCTTCCTCCAATCTTGATGCCACATTTTTTTTCATATAATCCAGCTTCTCAGATTATGTGCTCAGCATATACATTGAATGTTGCTGTTGTTAAGTGCCGTCGAGTCGATTCCAACCCATAGTGACACTGTATAGGGTTTCCAAGGAGCAGCTGGTGAGCTTGAACTACCAGCCTTGCAGTTCAAATGACTTTGCAATCTGACACATTAACCCACAGCACCACACCAGGACTCCAAACATTGAATAAGTATGATGAATGAATACAACCCTGGTACATACTTTTCCTGATTTTAAACCATTTGGTGTTCCCTTGTTCTGTTCAAACAACTGTGTTTTGGTCTATGTACAGGTTCCTCATAAGCACAATTAAATGTTTCAGAATACTCATTTTTTTGCAATGTTGTCCATAGCTTGTCATGATCCACATGATCAAAAGCCTTTGCGTAGTCAATAAGGCACAGGTAAACACCTTTGTCTATCAGTGGTGTGAACCCACTAGCCACACTCAGGAGAAAGATGATGCAGCATGCATCCACAGAATTTGTTGTTGCTGTTGTTGTTCAGTGCCGTTGAGTTGGCTAAGATTCATAGTGACTCTGTATAGGGTTTCCAAAGAGCAACTGCTGGGTTTGAACTGCTGACCTTTTGTTTAACAGTCCAGTGTTTCTCCTACAGGGCCACACCAGGAATCCATAAGAATTTACAGCCTTGGAAATCCTATGGAGCTGTTCTGCCGTGCCAATCTACTCAATGTAAGTGAGTTGTGTTTGGGGTTTTGGATTCTCTGGTATCTGAGCACAGTGGTGTTTCAGTGGTAGAATTCTTGCCTTTTCTGCTGGAAACCTGAGTTCAATTCCTGGTCAATGCACCTCACACATGGCCACCATCTGTCTGTCAGTGGAGGCTTGCGTGCTAGTCTCATGCTGAACAGATTTCAGCACGACTTCCAGATTAATTTGGACTGAGAAGAACCTGTTGATCAACTTCTGGAAAATCACCCAGTAGAAGTCCTATGGATCACAGTGATTTGACCTGCAACCAATCACAGGGATGGTGCAGGATTGTGCATGGAGTTGAACTGGGAGTCAATGGGCCAGCAGCAAACAACCACAGCAACAACAATTGATGTGTATGAGACCACTGAGGCCAGAGGGCCGGAGGAACTCCCCTAGGGAAAAATTATACTGCTATAATAAGTCTCTCAGATGCAACTACTTGGTATTTCTTTCTCTGTTGAACTCAACACCTCCCTTGGGTGGAAAGTAAGCAGCAGTGTCCTCAGTTCAAGGGTGGGTGGGTTGGTGGGGCTGGTAAATGACGGTCCAGTCTGTTACTTCTCAACTTCCTGCCTTTGATACAAACCAGAGCTGACCTTCGTTTGAAACTTGGTTACGAAACTGGTGAGTACTCTTTCATAAGAGGATTTAAAGCTGCTTCAAAATGGGTGATATCGTACACCAATAGTGCTCCTCGGAAATCTTATACAGGGTTGCTATGAGTCAGAGCCGACTCCACTGTACTTAACACCACCAACTGGAGTCTGCAATGTTGTCTGAAATCCAAATGTGGTGTGGGTTTTTTTTTTTTTTTTCATGGAAAAGGAGGAGTAGTTCTGCACTTAAGGTGGGAGAAGAAAGGGAAGGAGAAAGTTCCACATGTGCCACCCACATGTGAGGTGCCTGCCTCCCTCAGGTCCTGCTGCTGCCTCTGGCTCTGGCTAACACCAGATAATGGGTTTTGTGCACTTTGACTCAGAAACACTCTAGTCACTGGCAGCCAATAATTACACACCAGGTAAACACAGACCCAGGTTGCCAATGTCCATGTCACTTCAGTCTCTTCTGAAGACAGGTAAACTTCAGTTGACACTATCTATATAGCAAAGTCAGCAACACTTACATAGCTTGTATGTGCTACATACTGGGCACTGTTCGTAAACATTTTACCTGCGTCACTTGTAGAACCCTCCCATCGACTCTGTGAGGGGGCTATAGTTGTTAATCCCACCTGACAGACAAGGAAGCTGTTGTTCAGAGAAGTTAAGTAACTTGCATGGGCTTACACAGTCAAGAAGTGGCAAGACCAGGATTTGGACCCCAAAAATCTAGCTACTGAGCCAGTGCACTTGATCACATGAGGCTAAGAGGCCTCATTCCAAAGGTGGATTAGATGGCTGCCTTTCAGGTGATGATCATCCAATCACTGTGGGTTGCAGTGATTCAACACTGAGCCAAACAGAGGTCTTTTCTGTTTATTTGGTGTGTCCCCTGTGTTGGGCTGTAAGCTAAGCACTATGCCAATGTTATCTCATTTAGTCATTATGACAATCCTGCCAGAGAGAACAGTGACTATGTTTTAGAGGTGAATGACCATGCACTCCCATGGCAAGGCCACTGTATTTGTCTTCATGGTAACCTTAGCTCTTGGCTCAGATGTCACTTTCTTGAGGAAGCCTTCTCGACTTCTCTGGTTCAAGTCCCCTGCCTTCTCTGTAATTCTTCTCACTAGCACTCATCTGATATGCTAGATCTATTATTTACTTTCTTATTGTCTCTGTGTTAATAGATACAGCAGCTCAATAAGGACATGAGGTTTATCCACTATGTTCAACCTCTTTATCTAGTGCATAGGATAGTCCCTGGCACATAGGAGGTGCTGGAGAAATGTTTTTACACGAATCAGTGCATGGGCTGCCTTAGGACAACGGGCGTGTGACTTTAGATCAGACTGTGAGCTGTGGAACCTTCTGGCTCCAGACTGATGTCCAGGAGACATTCCTCTGTGTCTGAAATGGTTTTTTCCTCTGCAAAATGCAGATGTTGGAAACTGAATTCCTCGATTGCTCTTGAGTGATTGGAATTTCCAGAGGAAGAAGCTGAATTAAGGATCCCATCATGGGTCCGCAGAGAGATGAGGGACAAAGGAGTGTACTGTCCATCAGGCGACAGGTCAAGCAGGGGTGAGCAGGGGAAAGGGACAGGTAGTGAGTATGGGGCAGGCTGGAACCAGCCCACTAGACTGAGGTGCTGTCTAGTTCAATATTAGCTGTGCCCCACTTGAACCAGTTAGTTGACTTTTTCTGAACTTTAGTTTTGTTTTGGAGAAAAATGAATCATGACTGAACCACCCTGGCAGGGTCTTTGAGCAGACATAAGGAGATGGTTTCCAGAGAAACGCCCCACAAATGCACGCGGCTGTCCGCGGAAGTGGAGGTGCGGCGGGGCGGCTGCGGGAAGCGCAGCACAGCTGAGGGCGGGAGCCCGCAGCGTGGGTCCCGGACGTTAAAGTGAGGTCAGGGCGGGCAGGGCTAGAGGGCCACAGTGCGGAGGTGTGCCCGGGGGCGGGAGGGGCGGGGACCAGGCGACCATAGGCTTCTTTAGGACACACCCCGCAGGCCAGGTCAGGGACAGTTCCGCTCAGAGAGGTAAAGACTTTCGGCTCCCGTGGGTCCATCCTGCTGCCACTTTTCGCTGCCCACGTCCCTGTCACCAGCACCTCCCGCCCAGCGCGCAGCAACCCGGCCCCAGCATGACGGACCAAGCGCCCTTCGACACCAATGTCATCACCCTGACCCGCTTCGTCATGGAGGAGGGCAGGAAGGCCCGAGGCACTGGCGAGATGACCCAGCTCCTCAATTCGCTCTGCACAGCTGTCAAAGCCATCTCCACCGCGGTGCGCAAGGCGGGCATCGCACACCTGTGAGTCAGGCCCTCCTGTCTGGCTAGCTGCGGATCTGCCTGGCAGTCTGACCTCTGGCCCTATGGTCTTCCTGCTGTGAACTTTCTATCTCTCCTCTGCTCCCCCACCATCCCTTTGCCTCATCTTGGAGGTGTCCACCTGCCGGCCTGGCATCCCTCTCACCTGTCTTCCCCTGCCCTGTTTATCATGCCTAGAGAAATGCTGGAGACGGAGACGGTGCTGTTCACATTTTGTCCTCTTTCACTATATTTGGAATTGGAACTCCAGGTCGGGATTCCAATCCAGTACCTCTTTGACCCTAAGCAAGTCCTGTTAGCAGTGAGCAAACATCTGGTTGGGTTGAGAGGGATCTTGTATGCCCGGAGCCCTTTAAGTGGGTAATGCATGTGGGCATAATGCTGCGATGGACTGTCTCATAAACAGAGAAATCTTACTCCAACAGGTTCAAAACCTCTGCAGTCATGGTATGTGCCAAATAGTGAGGAGGATCCCCAAAGTGGTGTCTAAATGGAATGGTTTTCAATGAGCTAGGTAGGGAATCCTCAAATTTCAGTGTGCACAGGATTTGTTTGGGTATTTTATGAGAAACAAAGACCTGAGATTCAGCATTTCTGTGGTGCTAATATAGCAGGTCAGTTCAAGCATACCAGACACTCCTTGGAAACCCTATACAGGGTGGCTATTGGATGGAACTTACTCGACAGCATTTAACAACAACAACTTAGTAGTACATTTCCAAGGACTTTTTTGTTTTAGGAAACACACAGAGTTTGGACACCTCTGTGAAACTTTTTAGATTCTAGAACTCCTTTTGGTGGGTAGTATACCTGGGTTTCCAGATTGCCCACACTTCTGCCTAACTAACATTCTCCATGCTTTCAAACAAATGCAGTCATAAAACCAAATCCACTGCCATTGAGTCGATTCCGACTCATAGCGACCAACCATATAACCTTGTTACTGGTCTTCCCCTGCCATCCCCTCCTGTAACCTGGATTCCGTTTCTGACGCACTGACTTCTGGTCTCAGAGTATAGGCTGGTGGAGCTAACACTTCACAGGGCAGCCTAGAATCACAATTATTCTCCGATTTCAATCAGAGGTAAGCTTGATGGGAGAGAGATTGGAACAGATATGTCAGGAATGTGGAACCTTCTTTACTGCTTCACCTTTAGCCTCTCTTAATACAGTTAAATCTCACTTCAAATTTAACTTACCGCATGGTTTTTAATTTACTCTAAAGACTGAGAAACTTTTTTAAAAGAGTACTTGTGATGTTTCATGTTATTTTACAGTGCCTTTCATAATACTGCAGAGACTAGAAACACAAAATCTGTTTTGAGGTTAGCAGCCCAACTCGTAACCACAACGCTACCAGAACTCCTTAAACTGAAGAATGTAGAGTTCCTCAGGAAGGTTTTAGAGAGATGGAAACGCTGCATTCTGAAGTGTTTAGACCTTGATGCAGGAGATGTAGGGAAATAAAAAGCTTCACATTTTGACATTTTTGTGTAATAGAGGTTTCTGTGATGCTGTTGCAATAATTTTTTGGTGTATCCTCGTATTCTTACATGTAGCGAGGAGAGTAGAATCCTCACCCTCCAGGCCCTGATCCATGTACAAGCACCATGTGTCTTTTAATGGGGGTTTGTGTGTTGCTCTGGTAGCGTAGTGGTTACGAATCGGGCTGCGAACCTTAAGGTCAGCGGTTCGAAACTACCAGCCGCTCCGCGGGAGAAAGATGAGGCTTTCTACTCCCGTAAAGATTTACACCCTCGGAAACCCTGTACAGGGTCGCTATGGGTCGGACCCGACTCGATGGCACTTAACAACAACAACAACAACAATGATGAAAGGAAGTCTGGTGGCACAGAGGTTAAGTTAACTGAAATGTTGGTGGCTCAAATTCACCAGACACTTTATAGGGAAAAGATGAGACAATCTGCTTCTATGAAATTTACAGCCTTGGAAATCCCATGGGACAATTCTTCTCTGTTCAACTGGGTTGCCTTCAGTTGGAATCTACTCTACAGCAGTGGGTTGTATTTAGTTTATGATTCTGAACAAGTTTCAGTAGAGCTTCTAGCCAAAGATGGAAGAGGGAGAAAGTCCTGAAGATCTGCTTCTGAAAATCAGCCATGAGTGCACATGGTCAAGAGGAGTCTGCACTTTGCTCCCACATGAACCAGAAGCTGATTGGATGACAGAGAACAATATTTAAAAACCCAAACCAAACCCATTGCCATCAGATTGATTTTCACTCATGGGGACCCTCTGTATTACAGAATAGAAGTATTCCTTAGGGTTTTCTTGGTTGTCATCTTCACCAGAGGATATCTGGGTGACCCAAACAGGGAAGTTCTTGACTCCTAGCAGTTTGAACACAACTAGAGGCACCTCTGCTTCCAAAAGGTCACAGACTTTAAAACCCTATGGAGCAATTCTATTCCATGCACATGCGGTTGCCATGAGTCAGAGAGGACTGGAAAGAAACTAAACAGCAGTGATCTTTATAGAAGTATTTGTTGGTGTTGTTAGGTGCCATTGAGTTGGTACTGACCCATAATGAGTTTATGCACAGCAGAACACTGCCTGATCCTGGGCCAGCCTTACTACTGTTGCCACACTTGAGTCCATCGATGCTGCCCCTTGGCCAATCCATCTTGTTGAGGGTCTTCCTCTCTCTCTCTGTCTCTCCACCTTACCAAACGTGATATCCTTCTCCAGTGACTGGTCCCTCCTGACAATATGTCCGAAGTATGAGAAACAAAGTTTGGCCATCTTGGCCTCCAAGGAGCACTCTGGCTGCACTTCTTCCAAAACAGATCTACTGGTTCTTTTGGCAGCCCGTGGCACTTTCAATATTCTCCTCCAACACCATAACTCAAAAACATCAATTCTTCTATGGTCTTCCTTATTCACTGTCCAGCTTTTGCATGCATATGAGGTTATTGAAAATACTATGGCTTGGGTCAGGCACGCCTTAGTCCTCAAGCTGACATTTTTGTTCTTCAACACTTTTAAAAGGTCTTGTGCAGCAGTATTGTCTAATGCAATACGTCATTTGATTTCTTTTTTTGTTTATTTGATTTCTTGACTGCTGCTTCCATAATTGTTGATAGTCGACCCAAGAAGAATGAAGTCCTTGACAACTTCAGTCTTTTCTCTGTTAATAAGAATGTTGTTTATTGGTCCAGTGGTGAGGAGAAGCATACTGCCAGGCATTTTTTTCTGTAACACCACTGAATGGGTTAAACAACCTTTACGTTAGTAATAAAATGAGACCACACATACTGTTTTGCAGTATGCTTTTATCATTCAACAATGTATTAATGAACATCCTTCAATGTCTGGTACATATGACGGGGTTTCAGAAAGTTAATGGAAAGATGGAATTGAAAGATAATGGAATTTTTCCATGCACTTTTGAAACTTCCTCTTATGCTCTACCTCCTATTCTCTCTCTTTCTCTCTCTCTCTCTTTAAATAGTGTTCTATTGTGTTTGTTGTGAAGGTTTACACAACAGTTTAAGTTCCTATTCAATAATTTCTACACAAATTATTCAGAGATATTGGTTCCATTGTTCACAATGCATGAACATTCTCTTTGTTTGTTATAGTTGTTTCCATTCATGTCGTTTCCCTGCCCCTTTCTACTCTTACCTGTTTTAAAGTAATTATTGACCCATTAGGTCTCACATGATGATTTTTAAAGCAGCATGGTACTTATAGGTGATATTCATTATTTTGTGAGACAATTTGTTGCCTAGATACAGGATGACCTCAGATTAGTTTTGGTTAAAAGTTTGAAGAGGATCTCAGGGCAGTAGTTTGGGGGAGTCTTCCAGTCATAACCAGTCCAGTAACTGGTTGTTTTTTTTATGGTTTTTGCTGTTGTTGTTTTGTTTTGCTTTCTATAGGCATTTGAGGTTCTGGTCAACATTTTTATCCGATTCTATTAAGGTCCATGTATTGTGGCCCTGATAAGAATAGTCAGCAATGGGAGCCAGGCACCGTCTAATTGTTTTGGTTTCAGGGTAGATAGAGGCTGTGGTTTGAGTAGAAGATTTGTCCTGATGACTAGCTTTTTCTTTGAGTCTTTGGTTTCCTTTTTTCTGTGTGTGTTTTTTTTCCACATGAGTTGTTGTTGTTAAGTGCCATTGAGTCAATTCTGACCTATAATGACCCTATATAAGGTTTCCAAGAAGCAGCTGGTGAGCTTGAACCTCCAACCTTGCAGGTCAAATGGCTTTGCGGTCTGTGCATTAACACATAGTGCCACACCAGGCTTCCGCACACACACACATATATATACGCTCATATATACAGTGTTATCCATAGCTTGTCATGAACTACACAGTAAAAAAGCTATGCCCTGAACCAAGTTGACAATGATTGCTACACTTGAGCCTAATGCTGCTGACCCTGTGTTAATCCATCTTGTTGGTGGGCTTCCTCTTTTTCACTGACCCTGCACTTTACCAAGCATGATGTCCTTCTCCAGGAAGTGGTCTTTCCTGATAGTATGCCCTGTGTATATATCATAGAAATTACCAGTAGTCCTTATTTTGGTGTACTTTTTAGTGACAACCTTTACCTTTGTCAAATTCTATACACTTCATCTTCATTTAGTGTTACCTTTCCTATCACTAAAAAAAAACAAGGACTTAAAGGAGTTCTGGTAGTGTAGTGGTTACGAGTCTGGCTACCAACTTCAAGGTCAGCAGTTCGAAACTACCAGAGGTTCCATGGGAGAGAGGTGAGGCATTCTGATCCTGTAAAGATTTACAGCCTCGGAAACCCTGTACAGGGTCACTATGAGTTGAGTTGGAACCGACTCCACAGTACTTAACAACAACTATTTAGAGAGGAGTCCTGGTGTGGTGCTGTGGGATAATACACCGAACTGCAAGGTTAGTTTGAACCACAAGGTCAGTGACTAAAACCCAACACCTGCTTCTTAGAAACCCTATACAGGGTCACTATGAGTCAGAACTGAC